TAAACATTTGTCATTGTTTTCACCTCCAGCCCTATCAAATTCGTCATTTGTTTTATAAAATTTCAGTTGTAGATGATGTGCTGGCTGTTCCATGAAATAAGCATATTCTACAGCGAAATATTTTATGCAGAACTTATAAGCTAACTAATTTTTTTTATGCTGCAAAGGCAGATAAATACAGTGGAAACTGTGATATTCTAACATTTGCATGTCGCTGTTTTAAACTGATTCACTAATCTACATGTGCAGAAGCTGGAGTATATTGTCATCTCAGTGAGCCTTGTAGCCTATCACTTGCAAAGTTGTTTGAATCTAATTAGGTTATTTGTGTAACTCATATCACCTCGTCTAACTGAATAATTCACAACATAGAGTAGATTTCGCTAACAAAATAGCGTTTACCATGGAAATTAAACCTGCGTTTCTGATTCTATGAAATATTGAGATTCATGATCAGGGATCCTTTTAGCCTATCACTTGCAGTCTATATTTATCAATGCTGTGAAACTTTTGTGTCTATTTCATCAGCAAAAATCTCTTAAACCAGCTGAGAAAGTAGACTCTCTCCAATAGAGTTTTCATAGAATTTTCATCAAACAAATTTGACATTTCTGAATTGAATGTGAATCATTATCATTCCAATCACATGATTAGCTGATTTATTCTTACTTTCAAATCCTCATAAGAAACGATGTTGATAAACTTCATTTCAATCTCATTTGTTCATGATGATGATTACATTTCAACTTTGTATTGGTGCAATGGATATTTGTTTGTAATGGAGAGTAACCAAACAAATCTAATTTGTTGTAACTGAAGCTAAGCACTTGGATTGGAATAGAGTTATGTACTGACATATTAACCTGTGGTATGATTAAAACATCTTATTCTGTTAACTTCATCTCCTCTAAATTCTGTACAAATTGCTCAGAAAATGTATTCTTCTCAACAGATCATTGGATTCTGTTTGTGTTGTGCTTATTTGTAAAAATGTCACTACTGTTTGTTATTTTGTATTTGAGTATATTCAATAACAGATTGGTCGAAAATGTGACTGTACAACAATCTTCAGTAACTTGATATTGTATTCATTAATTAATTTTACAATTCTTTAAAGATCAACGATAAGAGTAATAAAAATTCTGCACAAAGGAAAGGTGAATTTATTGTTGGTGAAAAATTCCGAGTTCAAGTGGTTTTGAGTGAAGATTTAGAAAATCTTTTATTGTTTGATGAATTCAACGTAAGCAATTTATAATTACCGAATATAAATGATACTTGATATGCTCGATATTCATTGAAAAGTTCACTTCCATTCATAGATAGCAGGTTATTTTGAAATAATTTTACAATTGCTAAAAGGAACAGAGAAGTTCACAAAGTAACATAATAAATTATATTTATGTGCATATCGACTATGATTAGAGTATGCACACCAATATACAGGTATGATAATCTTCCGACAGATAGGAGATAATGTTTTATACTGAAGAATTGTAATCTGTTTGAAAATTGGTATTTTTTCAGCTAAGTGAACCCAACTTTTGAGATAAAGATGATATCATCGTGGGGCATAAGACTCCAGGGAAATGCTTAATAAGAGGTGAAACGAATTTCAGTACAGCATTATATTTTGATATCACAGGAACCATACGGTATCCTGCAAGAATGGTGAGACACTTGCAAAACATCAAACTGTATCACACATTACTCTCTCATATTATTCATCGGTTCACAATATTCATATTAGAGAAGAATAAGATTGATGTTTTGTAACACTGTTTTGAAACTGTTATAACAATTACTGGCAGATGAACAATGTCCAGTGAAATATGGTGATCAACACACCTAAATGAGAAAACATTCGAACGGCAAGGCGTCAATGTCATGATAAAACTTTTAACCATTTTGAAGCAATTTAGTGCAAACTTTCGAACAGATCAATCGCTTAGATTTATTTCAGACTTGATCGGTATATTTAGAGCTTTCTACGTTTTTTTTGAGGTGTTCGCAATAGTAATCAGAAATGAACACTGAGACAAACATGTCGATAGATGTCGATCTACTTTTTGAGTGTTTCCTCACATGGTAATCTACATTGAGAGTGATAGGCAATATTTGTGTTACCATTGTTCATTCTCCTTTCGAATGTAATAGCGAATGTAACAACGGAGTTCGAACACGGATATCACCTCGTTTGCATTACTGTGAAGGTGGTTGTGCTAACGTAACATACTGTGGAAAATATGAAATTCCAGAGAAGTATCTTCAGGTCAGTTGCCTAATTGTAATGCTTGAATTTTTGTGAGATTTTTCGAATGAAAATTAGATGTCGTCCACTCAATATAGCACCTCTTCTTTAATGTAGTTAATAATCCGTTCCAACCTCCCGAATCATATGAATAACAGCATTCATGATTTCACATTGAGAACGGAATGCAGTTAGTCTGGCAGAAGTTATTTTTACTTATTGTTAAACGCAGTTGAGTGACAATGATTTATATTTGAACTCTGTGGCTATCATGTAACATTGTTACTTAGTCTCATTGCTTCTATTGCTCAGTTTCACTGACTGAGACGCTGTGAGAAAACAACGGTATTCTGGTGGTCAATAGGTTACATTTGTGGAGATCGGTGATTCAGATACTGATAGGTAAGCAAGTAGTTACGCAAAGTGCTATCCATTTTTCACTTGGTCGGAAGCTTGTCACTTGTTAGTCTATTCACATCGCTTCTTCTTCAAATTATTTCATGCTTAATATTTACACTCGTATCATCCTTTCCACATTCAAGACCGATCGCAGGTTTCATGTCAATTTGCTCGGCCATGGAATTTCTCAAAACCAAACCAAGTGAATTCAAACGAGTTATAATGCATGAATTGGGACACACGTTTGTGAGTGAAACATCCATGAATTACATGTTTTATTCATTTTTGCACTATTATTTCTATTGCACTGATTGTAGAAGTCTCTTTCACGGAGTGTGTGCACAATGCAGTGATAATATTGAATTATTTGCTCGAAAGTGAATTTCCATTCCGATTAGCAACTCGTCAATCCAATATAAGTTGCGATAACCATCTCTTGAAGTGTCCTTGTAAACCAGTCCACTCATTATGTGTTCAATCAACAGAAATAAAAGTGAATAGGGACAGAGATGAAAATAGAGGAAATGATATTAGTGTACTTCAAATGAGAACGCAAAGAGGGCAATCAGGTATATGTGAAGATTATCAGAAACAGTTTATTGATAAAACTGTATATGATTTTGTTTGAATAATATGTATAACATTGCTAGAATAGAGTTTGCTTTCCAAAACATCACCGATGTTGCTGGAAAATATTGATGTCCCCGATCACACTTAGATGATCGGTTTTCGTAAATCTGGTAAACTGAGTAAATTATTCACATCGGTCCACACAGCGTCAGTTATCTAGATGGTGTGAGGCGCCCTATCTAATTACAATCGCAATCAGTAGTATTCTACGTGGATTGGTAATTTACTTTCAGTAAGCTCTTCTACTACTCAGCAAAGTTATTTCCCCTTTGCAATATGTATTGCTGAGGAATAAATAAGAAGTAACAAAACATGTAGCAGACACTTAATCTTCAGCTTATGTTCATGGCATAAATTGACACCAGTAGTTCCCTTCCTCAGAATTATTTACAAAATAACACACGTGCTTGAAAAAAACATCAGCTCTTACATCATTTAACACTAGTTTGAGAATTTTAAGCGTACCGTAACTAAACGAGTTCCACAGTAGACGTCGATGTAACACATTTGGTGAATTAGAACGAGTAAAATTTTCCATTTTGCAGTACTATGCTGGATGGTGTTTCGGTTGCATCTCAGACCGAAAATTCCACAACATATGCAACAGAACGAGTCGAATTACCCACTCTACATTTATGCGTAAAATAAAGTGTTGTTATCGCAAAAATGTTTGTGTGCAAAGATTCTTACAAGTAAGCACGCACATTCCCTCAAAACAGATGACACCATACACAAAAGAGTAGCATAACACGAAAACATTTGGATTGATGATACTCTGTTGAATATAGTTCATATCATGTCCTTAAGCCGACCAAGGAAGTGTAAACTCTAGAACGATTTGATAACTTTTGTTACGTTTCGTCAAATACGAAACAACCACTTGTCAAGAATTGTATTGAACCGTTTTGTGTGGTTACACGTTTGTGGAGTAATTGCAACAAATGATTGGAAGAGTTAGTACAATGAATTCCTTCGAATTTTTCGGAACGATTAAATTGTATTGATTTGGTCAACTTGTGGTTGTATTCGGTTAGTGATGAGGCTCTAAAGTAATAGAACATTCCATCCCGCTGGTAGTTTCGCAATAATGGATAAAATCGTTTGACATTTATCTCTTATTATCACTGTTAGATTGACTATAACAGATGAAAAAATATTTTTCTATTTGACAGGGCTTTGATTATTCGCTGTTTCCTTACCTACGTGATGAGAACGGTCAGCCTAGGACAACGCGTAACCCAGAAACTGGTGAACCAGAATTGCCGAAAGATAATGAAGGACTAGAAGCTGATAAGTAGGTCTCATGTCAAATGCTACCTAATTCTCTATCCCGATGTCTTTCGTCAACACAACACTGTCGCATTTATAACATAATAAACACTGGTGTTTCACTTTCATTGTTGTAAAACCATTTTCATGTAATCATCGAAAATCTTGCAGTTTCCTCGTATCATCTATTACTGCATAAGGTGGGAATTTTTTCTGTTGAGTAGATCGGTATTCCAGTACAAATTACTGTTCTGAAGTTGCTAATTCAATCAGTACCTGAACCATCTGGTACTCCACGGCAACGAGTTCACTCCATTATGAATGGTGAAAAACGAATCGTAGAAAATAAACTCTCCCGTAGTTTTCACACTCTGTTCTGAGATTAATCTGGTTGGCAAACCGCTGTACTAAAATCCACACACCAACTGAATTTCGAAAATTTTATTTGAGAATTTCATATCGAGACTGATGGATTGTAGATCGGCAGCATTACACACTATCTGCTGAAGACCGTTCAAGTATCGGATAAAATGACCGAATTTTCAAAATACACTTCAAACATCATAATGACAATTTACTTATGAAAACGTTGTTTTCAGGAATACCGTGAAGTACGTGCAGAGGAACTGGAAAACAATTTCGGGTGAGAAGAGTTTCCGGAGAATCGTCCTAACATTGCCAAGTGTTGTCGTAAGTCATTCTGTCCTGATAAGTGATGCAACATATTATTGCCATTTTGCATTTCTGACCAAAACAAACGATGCATTATTTTTACTAACTTGACGAACTAGTTTTGTTGCAAATGAGCAGAGGAAATTTCCGTCGCTGTGGATTGTTCCTCTTCTGTCTGTTTAATAGCAGCTGTGTAGAATAATCAAAATGGTCATTGTGGGCTTGATTACAATTGACTACTTTACTACCCACATTCACATTTTGTGTGTCAGATTGTCCATCTTATCCATTGTCACTTCTGTTGATATAATCTGATATAATAATCCACACAACTGTTTGACACCTAGTAGTACCAATCAGTTCAACGATTGATCATTACTTTGATCCACACACTACAAACAATTACATTTCATACAATCTCGATAATTTATATGTGTGATCAGTCGAACCGGTTTGTCTGACATATATTCATTTTTGAAGCATATCAATGTGGATGTTTTTATATCTCAGTGCAATGGGAGTTTATTTAGAGAAGCTGATTAATCTAAGGAACATATACAATAAAGTGGGTCTCGTGAGAATAAACATAACAGGAGACTGAGATGTTACATCTGCATCTCAGCCGATTCATCCATTGATACGTAGGTATGTTTCTCACTTAACATCAACGCACACTTCAGAGTAACAGTCATCAGTACAAATCAATTGAACAAAGATTTGCGTTTCAACACAAAATTATTTGTCTCTTCAAATGAAGTCTACCAGATTGTAATTATTTTGTCGACTACAACTGACTCAATGAATATAGTCTGTGTATGAATGTTCAAGATACATCAAAGAATCCACACAACCTCGTCCTTCTTTTCCCTTTCTTTCAAACAGAGCTTTGCAAGACGCCATTTTGGGTGTAATGATCTTGATGGTGTTGATCTAGAATCGGATGGTCGCAGTGGAAATCGTCGTTCACACTTCGAACGCCGTCTGTCCATTGTAAGTGTACAACTAATTTAACCACTGTGTAAATATTTTCACAAATAATCACTTCAATGTTAATCCTGAGGTTTGATTTTCAGGGGGAAATAATGTCTGGTAAAATGGATACCATGGCTTCTGTCTCTGGTTTAACTCTCGGTTACTTCAATGATACTGGGTAAATTTCAAAACTGTTTTCTTGTGAAGGTTTCGTTTGATTTTCTCCTAACATTGAGATGGTGGCATTTTAAAGTTTAGTAGTTGTGCATTTCTATGAAAAGTGAACGAATCTGCTTCTTTTCATACATCAAATCACAATAAATCGTTTACTGCAACATATTGATTTCTTGCAAAGAGCTAATTCTGCATGGTTAAGTAGTCTTCCAGATAAACATTAAGATTCGTCCTTTCGAGCATCTCAAATGAGGAAAACCATTATTGATGATATATGCGTTGGGAATAATCTACATTTGGAAAGTGCTCAAATTCTATGAATTGATTCAGTTAGGTTTTAGTGCTAATCTAGTCCGCTTTATCAATGTGAGTAATTTCAGAATTAGAGACTGAACCAGTAATGATGACTTATTGTTGAAATCGACTGTAAGCATTCTAGTCCGTAAATATTTCAGATTATCAGAAAATCCTCAATGAAATGATGCTGATAATATTCTTTTACTTGTGATATTTTAGATGGTACAATGTGGATTTTTCCATGGCTGAACGATGGGAGTGGGGTCGTGATCAAGGCTGCGATTTTATTCATCAAAGTTGTGGTGAATTCATCAAAACACAAAAGTCAAGGTGAAAACCGATCAAATAAATTTACTTTTCTCACGGGTAAAGCAAATTTTGACCGACAACATTTCGTCCACTAGACATTCGACATATCGTCACTGTTAGCGAATCAACTGTTGACTTATAAGCATAGATTTCTAGTCTGTTGTAGTTCATTATCAATAAATCCCTAATTAGGCATCGTTATACTGATGTGAACCAAACACATTTATATTTAGGTTGTGAGTTTCAGTGAATAATAGGTAGAGATGTACGAACGAAGTTGAAAAACACTAGTTCACAACTCTGTCCTCTATTGAACTTACTTACTTACTGGCTTGCGCGTGTTACCCCATTGGATCATAGGCCGCCCACCAGTTTTCTTCAACCAACTCTGTCCTGGGCTTCCCTTTCTAGTTCTTTCTAGTTTTTCTTTGTAAACACAGATCTCATCTAATTCGTCGTAAATAAAATTCTGAAGACATTGTATGATGTTCGGTATACAAAGGTAGTATATGAAGATATTCAACTAACCAAGCATTCGACACATTCACTATATGTTGACAAGCTAGTTATTTCCAATGTTTGCTGTTTATATTGTGATGTGACTGACCACAAACAACTTTAAAATTGGATTATTTGTCATGACACTGGAGAAATACAGAGACCTCGGGAAATACGACAATGAGACAGAAGTTACAAGAATGAAACTGAACACCTCGCAAACTGGTATCAGTTCAAATACAGAGAAGTAAACACAGACTACAACTACTTCGTTAAATGTACATTTCCAACAGCACACAGCATCACGAAAATCGAGGTCAGTGATGAATAAGTTTAGATATTCTGTAACTGAATAGGATTTCCGCTTATAATCGAACTAATTATTTTCAACATCAGTTGAAATTAGTGTGGCATTTTTCACCAATCGTTGAAATGCAATGATCAGCTGATTTGTGTTTACTTGCAGAGGACAGCAGTTATCACCTTGGTGTGATGAAATACTTGGTCCAGTGCCTGTTTTTCGATGCATTCCTCACGTGAACGCTTACGGATTGTGCAATTTGAGGAAGTTCAGTTCAGCTTTAGAACCAGAACATATACACTTCAATAACGTGTTTGGCGTATCAAAGTCGGAACAAAACATGTTGGCAGGACTGGACAATTTCGCAGATCACTGTCCATATATGTCGGTAAGTATACGTTTGGATAATTATTCATTTAAATGATTCAGCTTACATTTGTATAAAAATTACTCCAGTTTTAATGCACGAATGATAAGATTTAGTCGACATTCATGAGACGAACCAATGAAATTCACTCTTCGTCAATCATTATTTAACAGAACGAATCAAATATTTCTCATAAAATGAGATCATCGTGATTGCTGATTACCATACAGAAGTTTTAGCATTTGTTTCGTACATTGTAAGCTAGGCATTACTGAAGAAAAGCTATGTTACAACTGTGATGATGAATCTGAAAACATTTCATTTTAGAAAACGAAATTGAGTGGTACAGGTTTTCATTGTTGCTTCGACGTAAATTAAATGATCAGTGATGATCCTTCACATAATGCAGTATGTGACTTTCAAATGATCAAACGTGTATAAATATTTAAGACTGACACTTGAGACAAATATTTGTACATACCAGTCGTTTTATTTCCTTCCAAGTTATCACACTGATTCATATATGCAATGCTTTCTGGTTCAGTGGATTCACTTGATTTACCGTTCATTTTCCGAAAGTATTTGCTAATATTGCACGTGAACTGCTTAGTGATAAACATATTGAACTGTCTGACAAGTTCGTGTTCAGTGGAGATTTGATTTCCAATGAATGATGAGATGTGAAACGAAACTCTCTCTTGTAGGGAAACCACATGTGCTGATTGCTTCAATTAAATGTGTTTACGCAGGTTTTGTCAGTATACCAGGCGAAACGATGTATTTATGGCTTGTCTGCCACAACAGATAACATTCCACGCAAACCAAATTACACAGTATTCTGACTACCGCACTGGTATGCTCTTCAACATTTCAAGAAACGCAGGTTGGTTATCAATAATTTGATTGTTTGTGGCAAATATTATGGCAGATAGCATAGCGTAAGTAATTAGTAATAGTGTTTGTTGAATGATTAACGTGCGGAATTCTGTTGCGCATCACATTGTACTAACACAATATGCTATCAATATTTACTTCAGATTATCAATAGACTTAATGATTTACCGCTGAATACTCACTGTGAGAATATCGATAACCGAAAATACCAACGTGAGTTTCCATTGTTACAAAACACACTTTAACTTCATGATTCTCACATTCTTACAAAGAGTAGCATTGAAAAATGACCACATCACCTATTGCCGTGGGGGTAGATCTGTATACCGTTGAACGCCATGGTTAGACAACAACGTGTATATAGATTGAATAAAGTCATTTCTTAGAGAAATATACAGCAAATCATCATGATACCTAATGTTATTGATGAATACATTTTGAAATAATGAAAATGAGGTTATTAGGCAAACATTCATAACAAATCGATTCATGGACAAATGAAAACCGACTACTAGTCAGTGTTCAGAATTTTGAACCAAATAACGTGAGACATTTCACTCATGTATTCGTCGTGCAAGGAAACTGAATGGAGAAATAGAAATGCAGCAGTGGCTGACTGACAGCTGTTGACCATGTTGAAACTAACAATTCTTTCTGAAATTCAACGAGTAAGAGATTCATATAACTTTGGTGAATGAATTTGTCACTATAAATGTTAACTTACGTAGCAAAGGTGGACGGTGTTCTGTTTCTCCTCTGACGTATACAGTCTTCTAACTTGAGAAGGAGAATCAGTTTTGATTGGTTATATACATTGTAGATAAGGACATTATACCGGAGTATTACGGGAAACGGTCACGATGTTTCAATATCGAAATAATATTTGGAGATGGGAATGGCAGTCTCGTAGCCGCTGGTTGTTATAAAGTAAGTTTTGTCTACATGGATATATACATATATATATATATATATATATATATATATATATAATATGTATGTATATATATATATATAATATGTATATATATAACATGATCATAAATGGTGAGACGGGTATACGAAATCCAGTATTGCCATATTAGGCGGTAAAATCAGAAATTCAACTAGTGTTTTTACGACATATCATTCCGTTTCTCTGCTTTACATTCTCGAATGCATAGAAGAAGATTATGGTCGACAGCTGAATGTGAATGTAGAAGTCCAAAGTTTTGTCCTCATAACACCTTGTAATAAACCAAACTGGACGACTGTAATGACAGTCCGATGATGGCAATTCGTGAAGATTTGATTTAGAATGTAAAGTACTATGAATGTACGTCTTATACTAACTTTGTAAAATAATACAATCAGGATCATTTGTTCAGTTGGCATTACTAGATATTCCTATCAGTATTGAAATTCAATACTTGTGATTCATTTGTACAACTAACTACTAATTCAGTAGATAATGTCGATCTCTTTGGAATTTCAAGGTGAAATGCAATCTCCGCACTCAGGTTGTAGTGATGTTTAACGACAAATGGCATAAGTGCCCTAAAAACGGTGGTGATATTTGGGTGTACGAAGTTCGGAACAGAACATATCGGTTCGAATGTCCGGTTTCCAAAGATATATGTTCTGTGATTTGAATGCGGTTTAATGGTAAAATTGTAATCAGTTTGTTCAAATTTTAATTTCTTTGTATTGAGCTCCATTTATCGAATTTGCGAATCCAACAACCGTCCTTATTCAAAGCATGCTAACTGAACTAACACAGTTTTGATCGATAACTATTCTCAGGTTATTATCAACTGTCTCATTTCCACACGAAAATCTTTTCGCAATCAACATTCAAATTAAACACACTTATATCTCGTACACCGGTGTTGATATCTTTCCTACTATTTGTTATTTGCAAATGAGAATCAATTCAATTCAATTCAATAACTGTAAAAGTGATAGTGAATATTGCTCGATGGATTGCTATAATCAATCTCATTTTCTCTCCATTCCATTTCATTCACATGTTTGTAGGAAGAAGAAACACGTGAGAGAAAGAAAAGGCGTAAGAACAGACTGAAAGGAGACAGTAATTATGTGAAAACAAACACCAATTCGTAGCTAATGAATGATATAAATTTGTATTTTACAATAAAATTGCAATCTGTTAATTGTTTCTTATGTTACTGAATTTTGTAGACAAAGTTTTACACTGTGGCTTTGGATGCCGGACTAGGAATCCGGGTCCGGTTCATAAAACGCTACAGATAATGCGTATTAATACATTTAGGTCGAATGGGAAACAGCATCGAAGTCTGTGACATTGACAGTTAAGGCGAAAAGTTGGAGAAAACATTTGAAGTGACATTGATAGTCAGGACGACCAATAATAAACAACATTGAACTACTAGACATTGACGACCATAATATTGACCAATAGGAATCGACCAATAGAAATGGCATTTACAAAATAATTCTTCGTAGGATATTTGGTGAATATCCTTACAGGGGTGGAATAAGTAGAAATAGTTGAGTTGAATGATGGATCAGATCGAACGTTAATTCATTGATCGTTTTCTGAAAACGAATTTAAATAATTACAAATTATTGTTGTAAAACATAATCTTTACTTGATTACGTAGTAATGACAGATTATAAGCTTAGAACTTGTATTTAGTGAAATGTAATGTTCGTGCAAGTAAGTTATTCAGACTCCATAAATTTAGGTACAATGAGTTGAATAGTTTCAGTGACAGCAGACAAACATTTCTTGTATGCATAATTCGATGAAGATGATAGGACTGGAAGATCACCAAAAAGCAGAGAGATCAATCCTAAATAATAGCACTGAAACATGGCAATTTAAAATCAACGAAGGAGCAGATCAACCAAAAGAGTGTTTAAAATATCATCAATCTACAATAGACGCAAACAAAACAATAAACAGGGTCCAGACAGATTAATGTGAATAACAAGCTGAAGATGGAAGGAGTCGTATGCTCAGAAAGTGTATTCCGAAAAAAATGCTGTTGCTCTGGTCATCATTTAATTTTGGCAGGATCCATATTTCCAAAACCACCGTCGCCAGTTGCACGGTTCGACACTAGATACGCTTGAAGCTACTACGAGATCACCTTAGTCGATAAACGCGAACGAAACAAATACCAGCTGAAGATGGAAGGCTTTGTAAGCTTAGAAAGTGTATTCCACAAACACACAGCAATCACAATACAATCAAACACACAACTCTCGTTTATTTATACATCATAGAAACGTCCTTGGGAACAGTTACGAAAATAGCACACTTTCATATACAGCAGACAATCACAGCCATGGATTTTCCTGGTGGCAAATCAAATCTCAACGTCAACTGATCAGCCCATGCTGGCAAACATGAAATCCAAAATAAGGCATTTAACAAGCGAGTTTTGGGAATCTAACATCTCCAACACAAATATGGCTAGAAATGTTTCTCAACTCACCTACAGTTGTGCTTCAGGCTCAATATATGATCTAGGAACAGATGAACCAAAATTAAGTGTTACTGAAGCCGGATTTTGGAAGCCAGACTGCACTGTTGGTTTCATAAGGATCTGTATTTGCAACTACTAGTTTCAACAAGTAATCGGGATTTCTTTCAAGAAAACGCATAACTGAACTAAACCAAATAAACTTCCACAAACACTTCACAAACATGGCGACATGTTAGGCGATAATCAATGATGGAAATGTTAGGCCAGTTTCAACATAGACTTATTTCAAGGTTTATCGATTTCGATGAAACTACAATCAGTGCTCAGGATTGTATTGTTCAAACAAACTTTATTCCTTCTCTAACACATGTGACGAGTTGTCGCCAAAGTCTTGGCTTAAAGTCTGAACTGTCTCAGAAAATGAACGATCTCGTGGGTTCAAAGGCAGCATCAAATTGCAGTAATTGTCCAGCTCGCTTGCACACAACTTTCGAAGTACCAGCCGAACCTTCCAAGCATCATCTTGGTTGGCGAAATCAAATTCAAATAAATCTACATACCGTCGGAACCACATATCGAAAGTAACATTGGCATCAGGATCATAATGAAATTCAGCTGTGCTATTTGCGATGCGGTCGACCGATTGAGCTGTGGTTGCATTAGATGAGCTGAGCTGTGTGGAAGGGGAAATGTTCATGTCTGTTAACATCCGCATCAGCTCCAGCTGCTGCTCAAGTAATCATTCAATTTTGGCAGGATCCATATTTCCAAAACCACCGTCGCCAGTTGCACGGTTCGACACTAGGTACGCTTGAAGCTACTACGAGATCACCTTAGTCGATAAACGCGAACGAAACAAATACCAGCTGAAGATGGAAGGCTTTGTAAGCTTAGAAAGTGTATTCCACAAACACACAGCAATCACAATACAATCAAACACACAACTCTCGTTTATTTATACATCATAGAAACGTCCTTGGGAACAGTTACGAAAATAGCACACTTTCATATACAGCAGACAATCACAGCCATGGATTTTCCTGGTGGCAAATCAAATCTCAACGTCAACTGATCAGCCCATGCTGGCAAACATGAAATCCAAAATAAGGCATTTAACAAGCGAGTTTTGGGAATCTAACATCTCCAACACAAATATGGCTAGAAATGTTTCTCAACTCACTTACATTTGTGCTTCAGGCTCAATATATGATCTAGGAACAGATGAACCGAAATTAAGTGTTACTGAAGCCGGATTTTGGAAGCCAGACTGCACTGTTGGTTTCATAAGGATCTGTATTTGCAACTACTAGTTTCAACAAGTAATCGGGATTTCTTTCAAGAAAACGCATAACTGAACTAAACCAAATAAACTTCCACAAACACTTCACAAACATGGCGACATGTTAGGCGATAATCAATGATGGAAATGTTAGGCCAGTTTCAACATAGACTTATTTCAAGGTTTATCGATTTCGATGAAACTACAATCAGTGCTCAGGATTGTATTGTTCAAACAAACTTTATTCCTTCTCTAACACATGTGACGAGTTGTCGCCAAAGTCTTGGCTTAAAGTCTGAACTGTCTCAGAAAATGAACGATCTCGTGGGTTCAAAGGCAGCATCAAATTGCAGTAATTGTCCAGCTCGCTTGCACACAACTTTCGAAGTACCAGCCGAACCTTCCAAGCATCATCTTGGTTGGCGAAATCAAATTCAAATAAATCTACATACCGTCGGAACCACATATCGAAAGTAACATTGGCATCAGGATCATAATGAAATTCAGCTGTGCTATTTGCGATGCGGTCGACCGATTGAGCTGTGGTTGCATTAGATGAGCTGAGCTGTGTGGAAGGGGAAATGTTCATGTCTGTTAACATCCGCATCAGCTCCAGCTGCTGCTCAAGTAATCATTCAATTTTGGCAGGATCCATATTTCCAAAACCACCGTCGCCAGTTGCACGGTTCGACACTAGGTACGCTTGAAGCTACTACGAGATCACCTTAGTCGATAAACGCGAACGAAACAAATACCAGCTGAAGATGGAAGGCTTTGTAAGCTTAGAAAGTGTATTCCACAAACACACAGCAATCACAATACAATCAAACACACAACTCTCGTTTATTTATACATCATAGAAACGTCCTTGGGAACAGTTACGAAAATAGCACACTTTCATATACAGCAGACAATCACAGCCATGGATTTTCCTGGTGGCAAATCAAATCTCAACGTCAACTGATCAGCCCATGCTGGCAAACATGAAATCCAAAATAAGGCATTTAACAAGCGAGTTTTGGGAATCTAACATCTCCAACACAAATATGGCTAGAAATGTTTCTCAACTCACTTACATTTGTGCTTCAGGCTCAATATATGATCTAGGAACAGATGAACCGAAATTAAGTGTTACTGAAGCCGGATTTTGGAAGCCAGACTGCACTGTTGGTTTCATAAGGATCTGTATTTGCAACTACTAGTTTCAACAAGTAATCGGGATTTCTTTCAAGAAAACGCATAACTGAACTAAACCAAATAAACTTCCACAAACACTTCACAAACATGGCGACATGTTAGGCGATAATCAATGATGGAAATGTTAGGCCAGTTTCAACATAGACTTATTTCAAGGTTTATCGATTTCGATGAAACTACAATCAGTGCTCAGGATTGTATTGTTCAAACAAACTTTATTCCTTCTCTAACACATGTGACGAGTTGTCGCCAAAGTCTTGGCTTAAAGTCTGAACTGTCTCAGAAAATGAACGATCTCGTGGGTTCAAAGGCAGCATCAAATTGCAGTAATTGTCCAGCTCGCTTGCACACAACTTTCGAAGTACCAGCCGAACCTTCCAAGCATCATCTTGGTTGGCGAAATCAAATTCAAATAAATCTACATACCGTCGGAACCACATATCGAAAGTAACATTGGCATCAGGATCATAATGAAATTCAGCTGTGCTATTTGCGATGCGGTCGACCGATTGAGCTGTGGTTGCATTAGATGAGCTGAGCTGTGTGGAAGGGGAAATGTTCATGTCTGTT